AAAACCCCGGGAACCAAAAAAAAAAAAAAAAAAAAAAAAAAAAAAGAATTCACCTGTCAATGCAGGAGACATGGGTTCGATCCCTGGTCCAGGAAGATCCCACATGCCACAGAGCAACTAAGCCCATTAGCTACAACTACTGAGCCTGTGCTCTGGAGCCCGCAAGACATAACTACTGAGCCCGCGTGCCCCAACTACTGAAGCCCACGCACCTAGAGCCCGGGCTCCACAACAAGAGAAGCCACCGCAGTGAGAAGCCTGCGCACCACAACGAACAGCAGCCCCCGCTCGGAGCAACTAGAGAAAGCCTGCGCACAGCAACGAAGACCCAACACGGCCAAAAATAAATTAATTAATTAATTAATTTTAAAATATATACATATGAAATCATTACCATAAATTTAACAAAATACATGCAAGACCAGTGCACTAAAACCTACAAGGAACTGCTGGAAAAAACACAACCTGTAGATGAGACGAAAGCCGACCACGTTCGTGGCGAGGGAGATTCAGGATCCTGTGACGTCAGCTCCCTTTAAACGGGTCCTGCAGAGTCACTGTGACCCCATGTAAAATTAGAGCAAGCTTCAAAACACAGAAAAGGACAAGCTGACTCTAAAAGTTATGTTGAAATACAACCAATCGGAAGCAGCCAAAACAATTTCAGAAAAGATGAGCAGAGCTGGAGGACGTCCAGCAGGGAGGGGAGGCCGCAGGGCAGACTTCCTGCCCGGGGCTCCTGGAAGGACCGTCCATTCATTCAGCTACTCTTGCTGGGGGGTCCCAGCAGTGCCCTGGGCTGACACCGATGAGCCTCACCTTCACTCCCCGGCCACCTCGGCCAGTCTGGGAGTCCGTGCTGGGGGCGGGGCAGAGCCACTCACGGTGGCTGACAGAAATGACAAAGCCCACGCCTGTGTCACGCAAGATGAGAAAAACAGGTTCAAACTTGTGAGGTTCTCGTGAAGCTGTATTTATTCAATTTGAAAGACTGTTCTTTCTCCTGAGATCAGGTCCTGCCTGCTTCAGGAGTAATGAAATATCTTTATTTTTTAATATGATGGCAATAGTGGATGGTAGCGTACTTTTTTTTTTTTAATGTCCTTACTTGGCAAAATACAAAAGCTGGCGACTGTCAATGTGGAGAAAATACAGACTTGACAACGCCGTGCTGTCTCAAGTCATTTAAAAATGCTAACGGTGGGCTTCCCTGGTGGCGCAGTGGTTGAGAGTCCGCCTGCCGATGCAGGGGACACGGGTTCATGCCCCAGTCCGGGAAGATCCCACATGCCGCAGAGCAGCTGGGCCCGTGAGCCATGGCCGCTGAGCCTGCGCGTCCGGAGCCTGTGCTCCTCAACGGGAGAGGCCACAGCAGTGAGAGGCCCGTGTACCGCAAAGATAAAAAGAAAACTGCTAACGGTCCAGGAGGTGCACAAATTCCCCCCACATATGAGGCCATGGAAGGCTCTGGAAGGCCAGGACACACAGGCTAGGGAGCCTGGTCAGCCCCACCTGGAGGAGGGGCAGAGGGTTGGGGTTCCTGAGGGGCAGAGGGCGGCAGGAAGGCACTCAGTGAGCTGTGGACCTGGAAGCTGAGGCTGCAGGGGCGGGTGGGGAGCAGCTGGGGCCCGGGGAAGGGCCCGCTCCCCTCTCCAGACCCACATCGGTGATGGCATCCTCCAGCCCCCAGACCAGGCAGCCCAGGAAACGCGCTCAAGGGTCAGGGCTCTGAGAAGGCCACCCGTCTGACCCTGGAGACCGCACTCCGGGAGCCCAACCCGGAAACAGGCAGCAGCACAGACAGACTGCACATTCCTGATGCTGAAGACGGACCAGCCCGAGAGCGATCCCGCATCTCAGCTGAACAACCACACAGAGCCGACAGCGCCGTCTGCCTCTGAAAGGCACGTCTTCAGTGTGCGACGGGGGCACGCACAGCCCCAGCCCTAAGTGTGATGAGTAGGATCCAGGACATCAGTCACTGAAACGCAACTCCACGAAACGCCTGTGGGCCTGAGAAGAGGCTGGCAGGAGGCCACCCAAGTGCCCACGAGCACGCACTGCTTTCACCATCAGGAAACAATACATGCTACTTTTAAAAGGAGACGTAAAGAATGACTTAAAGCAGAATTGCACACAAATCTGCCGACGGCCCTCTGTTGCTTTGCTCTGCACCCCGAGACTTGGCAGGGGTGGTCCCAGACTGCTTGGGTGGATGGAGAGAAGGAAAGAGGGGTGGGTGGACAGACGGACGACTGGGTGGCTGGGCTCTGGCCTGTCCACTGAGAGAGGTGCAGCTTGAGCCACACATCCAGCCCCTCCCGGGGCCTCAGAGTCTTCCTCCATGAAGGGGAATAGCCTTACCTGCCCTCTTCCTTCCCAGGGTACTTGCAGGATGCAAGGAGCCGAGGGCAGGGCTGAGCCCCACCACCAGGAAGCCCTACCCTGCTGCCACAACAGCTAATTCCAAAGCATCAGGGATCATCAGGGCAGAGAACGCTAAACCCACCGATGACTGGCCCAGACCTCGGAGGTGCAGCCGGAGCTCTGGTGTGTGGCAGACACGTGTGGCGACAGTCAGTGAAGCAAAAAGTGTGCAAGAGACGCATGTCCCGCCACCTGAGTGCACACCTGTACACAGGTGTGTCTACATGGGTGTCACACATCCGTGTTGGGGGTGGCCCCATGTGAGCCCAGCCAGCTGTCGGGCTGGTGTGTGGATGGGCCGGCATGCGAGTGGGTGCAGGGCACATCCGTGTACACCCACACGCACCACACACACACTCACAGGCTGTCCCGCAGCTCCTGCGTGCCACTTGGCGTCCCCAGGGACCGGAGGCTCTGCTCCAAGAAGGCCACTGCCGAGAGAAGGGGGCAGGAGTCAGGGGCAGCGGGGCTCCACCACGCGGTCCCCACCCTCCAGGTTGCGCCCCCAGCCTGCCTCTGTGCAGGGACGTGGGTGCCGAGGCCCCACAGCAGGGCCCCAGGGCAGCCCTTTCCCCAGCTGTCCAGAGACAGAGGCCCAGGCCCGAGTGGGGCTCAGGGGCCCTGGGGAGCTGCCCCAGTGGGCCTCGCACTGGCTCTGGGGAGGGAGGGACTTCTCTCCCCCCAACGGTCAGTGCTCTCTGACCTGGGAGAGCTCAGAGTTCAGGGCAAACGCGAGCTCCCACCCACGAGGATACAGGGAGCCCGGGCCACCCCATGTCCATGCCCCCGTGTCCTGAGGGAGTGGAGGACAAGCCCTGTCCTCGTGGGCTGTGGCTCTCGCCCTGACCCCTAGCCTCGGTGACCTGTGAGTGGGCGGCCCTGCCAGTCTGAGGGAGGCTCTGACACGCTCCTCCCCAGGGGGCCCATCCAGGTCCCAGGTGTGCAACGGGGGAGGGAGGAACGGGCCCAAGAGGGCACCTGCCGAGGACACAGCCCAGCCTGAGCCCAAAGCACTGGGCTCATGCCCTGCCCGCACCCCGCTGTCCTGCGTCGGCCAGGCCTGGGCCACAGGGCACCCTAGTGTGGGAGGCCACCACCCCGAACCTCCCGCAGTGCACTCCGCGGCCCGGATCAGGGCAGGGTGAGGCCAGGGCACTGACTCACCATTGGAGTTGATTCGGAAGACGCTGGCCGACGTCTCCTGGAACAGTTCCTGGAGGTCACTCAGGTCCATCTCGGTGGCTGCAAGGAGACAGGAGGGGGAGGTCACATCTTCACCGTGCAGCCTGAAGGTGGATCCCTGGGTGGATCCCAGGGCCACCATGCTTGGGCAGAGCCACCCCCTCCCAGCTGTGCCCCCCCGTGGTCCAGCAGAGCCTCAGAGACAGGACAGGAGCCTCAATGCTCAGTGGGGGGCGAAGAGAAGGGCAAAGGGGGCAGCTCCTCGGGCCAAGCCCCCAATGCTGGGCACGCCCCAGGGCAACGGCAGCCTCAGAAACTGCGGAAGCCAGAAAACCCCGCAATGACATCTTTAAGCCCTGAAAAGAAAGGGAAAAAAAAACTCAGTCAACCAGAACTCTATACCCAGTGGAGATACATCAAAACTAGAGGCAAGATAAAGACGGATTCTCAGACAGAAAAAGGCTGAGAGAAGCTCTTTCAGCCAGAGATGCAGGACAGGAAATGTTAAAAGCAGCTCATGAGAGCAAAGGACGCTTGGATCGGCCGGAGGAGCTGAAGACCGCAGTGGGCAAGCGTGCAGGCAAACGAAGACGTCCTGTCTCGCTCTTGATCTAGTTAAGAGACAGAGATCATCGAAGCAAAACGAGTACCAACTGCGTTAGACCTGATGTATGTGCGGGGTGCAGGGGCGCAGACGGGAGTCTTGTAAGGAGCTCACACACCAGGTGGAGGCGAGGCTGTTCCGTGAGGGAAGGCCATGGATGCTAAAGACGCTGGTTACACACTCCAAGCAAAACCACTCAAAAACAGGAACACCCATAAGCCAACAGTGGAGGTAACACAGAACACTACACTACACTCGGCCACTCCAAAGAAAGGAAGGCAGAGAGAAAAAGGACAACGGATCACAGGGAAACAAAGAAAGCAACTATCGACATGGCAGATTTACCCCAAACCCACACGTTTTGACACAAGAGAGAACCCATCTAAAGCAGGGTCATGCATCACAGCCCACGCATGACCAGTAAAGACCACGCTGGAGTGTGGGTTCAGAACATCTTTGTCATCACCGGAAGTTCAGGGTGAACTGCTGCCACCACTCAATCCACAGCAGAGATGTCAGATGGGACAAAAGGAAACTCGACGGCACACCGAACACAAGAAATCCAGCTCACATGTAAAATCAGATACAGCTTATAAATTAAAGGATTGGAAAACGCATCAATGTAACAGTAATCATGAGACAGCTGGAATGGCCACAACTGACATCAGACAGTGTAGCATTCAGGACAATGGGTCCAACCAGAGACCAAAAGGACGTGGTTACAATGATATCGGGGATGAGGGATAAAGACAAATGACCCTAAATATGCACAATATGCACCTCGCATCACTGTGTGAAAATACACGAAGCAGAAACTGGCAAAACTGAGACTCGCCAACACCCCACTCTCAGGAGTTCCCAGTATGAGCACACAAAAGATCAGCTGTCTGTGCTCTCCAGCAACTTGACCGGGATGACATCACAGGATGCGCCACCCAGCAGCGGCGGAACGCACATCCTTGTCACACACACAAGGAACTCGCAGAGGAGGCCGATACCTCAGGCCATAAAGCAAGTCTCGATTGTTGATAATAGTTGAAATTACGCACAGTATATTCTCTGACCACAACAGAACTAGGAACCAATAACAGAAAGAGATCTGGAAATAGACACTTATTTGAAAACCAACACACTTCCAAATAACCATTAGTAAAGAAAAAATATCACAAAGGAAATTAGAAAATATTTTAAACTGAATGAAAACATAATACAAATGTGTGTAAGTAAAGCAATGTGCTGAGGATAATTTATAGCAATAAATACTTACATTAGAAAAGGATAAAAGTCCCAAGTCAATGATCTATAACAGAAACAAATCAACCCCAAAGTAGAAAGGAAATAATAAAGGTCAACAGAAATCAGTTAAATCGATTTGATGAGGGTAAACAGAGAAACTGATGAAGTAAAAATCTGGCTCTTTGAAACCATCAATAAAATTGATAGACTTGCAGCCAGACTAGTTGACAACAAAACAGAAAAGAAACAAATTAGCAACATCAGGAAGGAGGGAGGAGCTCTCACTACAGGTCCTACAGGCATTCAGATGACACGAGGGGAACTCTGGGAACAACTGGTGCCAGCAACTCCGACAACTTAGACAAAACAGGCAAGTCCCTTGAAAGACACGAAACAATGACGCTCACTCAAGAAGAGCTGCAGCAAGGGTGGCACAGACTGTTAAAGAGACTGTGGGTGACAATCCTCCCACAGAGAAAAAAATGCCGTCTCAGATGGTGGCCACATATTTAAGGGAAGAATAATAACAATTCCACAGGAAGCCTTTCGGAAAACGGGAGGAAATGATTCCCCACTCATTTCAATACTGGCCTCATAGTTTCCGTAATCAGACAGCGTGGGCTGTATAAGCAGAGACACAGATTGAAAGAAACATGAAAACAGAGGTGCCCAGGTCATTCCATGTTCAACCAACAGTGTGAATAACCGGATACCTGCGGAACCTCGACCCCAAATCCACCACGCTCAAAAATGGACTCAACGTGGACCATAGGTTCAATACAGGTGTCTGGCAGGTCCCTTGCCTTGTCTCCAGAATCAAGATTGAGCAGATGCACGCGACAGGCCAGCAGCGCAGGAAGAGATGGACGTGGGTGTGAGCAGACACTGCACCAAAGAAGGAGGATGAACAGACAGACAGCACAGGACAAGCCCGTGGTTCAGAGGCCGGGCGGAAACTGCAGCGAGGCCCCTCTCCCGCCAGCTCCGTGTGGCTAACGCCAGCGTGACTGCCAGCAAGGACGCCGAGCAGAGGGCTTCTCACAGCTGCCCTGGGGCCTGAAAACGTACAACCGCTGTGGACGCTGGTTCGGCAGTCTCTTACAAAGTTAAACTTACATTCACACTGGACTAGCAATTCGACTCTCAGGTATTTATCCAAACCCGCCAAGAAAGCGAGGACGTGTTTCCACACAGATGTTCGCACGCCCTTTTACTGTGCCAAAAGTCGGCAACAAGGAGCCCGCCCACCACGTGGACAGGACACAAACCGTAGAGCAGCCCCTCCTGAGCAACAGAAGGACAAGCTACTAACACACCCAACACCCACGGCCAGTCCTCGAACATGTTAGGACAGGGGAGGAAGCCGGAGCCGAAGGAGAGCAGCCCGCAGACCTCACACAGGCTGGGAGGGAGCGCAGAGCTGGGCCGGCATCTGGAGGGGAGCAGGGGCCACCCACTGCAGCTCCGGCTCTAGGCCAGTCCAGCCCCAGGGCAGCACGGAGATGTGACACTCGTGCAGCGGGGGCCCAGCGCGGGTACTGGGCGCCCTCACCCTCCTCCAGCTCCACAGCTGCTGCCACGATGGCCTCATACAGCAGTTCTGCGGCCCGCATGCCGCCCAGATGGCACCTATTATTACCGCCCCAGTGCTCTCTGGGCTGCCAGACAGCAGGCCTGAGCTCACCTCGCCCTCCCTGGCCCACTGTGCCCGACTGCAGCCTTTGTGGAGAAGTCAGGCCCCGCAGAGCGATGCTCCCCTGGAAAGCCCGGGAAGGGCTCTGCCTGGGAGGCCCGAGGTAACCGGGGTAACAGGGTCTCAGGTCCCCACCTGCCCACCCTGAAGCTGCAGGGCCAGCCCAGCCCGAGCCAAGGCCTTGTCTGGACGCTGAACCAGAAACAGAGAGAGAAAAGCCAGCGCGTCTGGGACGGAGCAGGGTAAGCGCTGCCCTGGAGACCCTGTGTTTCAGCTTCACGTGTGACACTGCCAGGAGAAGAGGTCTTTCTCATTGTAGGTCACAGCCCAAAGGATGGAACTAGGTGCCCTTGAGAAGAGAGCTGCATCTTGTCTGTGCCTGGCTCTGCTCTGCGACGTCTGAGGGAGGGGACAAGCACCACCGAGGAGGAAGCCAAGCCCCTGAATGCCTGGGGTTTAGATGCTGTCAGGTGCACGACGGCCGGCTGTGCAAGCACGTGAGTGAAGGAGCAGAGGATGAAGGACAGGAAGGAGCCAGAGATCGTGGAGGGAGGAGGGAGGGGAGGGACAGCGGCCTTCAGTGGCCACGAGCTTCCTGCCGGGCGAGCTGGGCGATGAACTCACCTCTGGGCAGCTCGGGGCTGAGGCCCTCAGAGGGCAGAGCCTGGCAGGAGAAGGTCTTGGCCACGACCTGCTCCACAGGTGTGAGGGCCAGGGCCTGGGGCTTGGCGGGGCCGGGGCCAGGGGCCACTCCACGCATGTCGCCCAGCTTGCGCCGCACAACGGCACGCAGGTCCCTCCACTTGTGCTTGAGGTCCACGATGTCGCGGCGGCAGTAGCCCAGCGCATTCACGGCCTGCAGGATGCGGCTCCACACGCGGTACCTGCGGGTGGGCTCGGCCCTCAGCAGCCCGGTGCCAAACAGCAGCTGGTGGTGCTTGCTGACCTTGGCCACCAGCACCTCCGTCTCCTGCGGACAGAAGTTGGGCTTCCTCTTCTTGGCCCGGGAGGCCCTGGGCCCCGCCACCCGGCCATGGGCTCTTGCAGCCAAGTCCTTCCTCGGGCCGGCAGGCGGTGAGGTGCGCTCCGGTGTCCCGCTGCCGTCCGTGGCGACCCCTGGCCCTGGAAAGGCACCAAAAGGCGGGTGTTTAAGGCCCCGGCCAGTGGGGTGGCAGATATGGTGGAGGCTCCCGGGGAGCCTCTTCAGATTCAGAACATTGCTGCCAGCTCCCACCCACCGGCCCCTCCCTGCTGGGCTGTCCAGAGTCCTGGGTCCAAGTCCTGGCCCTGCAGCTGCCTGGCTGGGCGCCATGCGGGAATGGACCTCACTTCCGGGCCCTGGTGCCCATCTACCTCCAAAAAGGGCCACCGGCCGTACCTGCCTCCGGAAGCTGATGTCAGGGGCAAAGGAGTGAGAAGGTTGGGACAGCTGTCTCCTGTCCGCAGGGAGAAGGCCCTCTGGGGCCAGGGCCAGCCTGGGGACAGCACTCACCACTGACACGCCAGACACCCTGACCAAGAACCCACCCCTTGGGGCGCCACTGACCCCTGCCTTCCTGCCCAGCCGCATGAGTCCTGCCCTCGGCTTCCCCTCCCACGCAGCGTCCTCCTAAAGCACACACCGAGGACCCGACACTTGCCTGCCAGCCCCCTCTGCAAAGAGGATGCAGGCTCTGGGGCCAAGAGACCAAGGGGTCACGGGAGCCGGTCCAGCCCCTCACTCTGTCCTGTAGGGTCAGCCTCGTCCCTGAAGTCCACAGGGCCCTGACAGCCTGGCAACATCCCTCCTGCCACTGGTACAGCCCCACCACGCCATCAGCTGGCCCTGGGAAGGGACGTGCTGGTGGGGGTGAGGGTGGAGACGGGCCAGGCCCCCATTTTTTTTTGTTTGTCCGTTTTTTAATATTTATTTATATATTTGGTTGCAGCAGGTCCTACTTGCAGCACGTGGGCTCCTTAGTTGCAGCTTGCCAGCTCCTTAGCTGCAGCATGCGGACTCTTAGTTGCCACATGCATGTGGGATCTAGTTCCCTGACCAGGGATCGAACCCGGGCCCCCTGCATTGGGAGCAAGGAGTCTTATCCACTGCGCCACCAGGGAAGCGCCCACAGCCTGAGCCCCTGGAAGTCCATGCCCCGCCCACTGACCCCGCCTCCTCAGTGCTCATCATCTCTGGGTGGCCTTCCCTGGGACCCCCAGACCCAGCATCCCAGAGGAAGTACCTCGCTTCCTGGCCCTCGGGCCTCTGCGCGTACCGGCCAGCCCCAGATCACCTTCCCCGTCCCTGCCCACACAGGGGTCCTGCAGGCTGCTCTCTGGCGACGGGCAGGGGAAGTGACGGATTCCGTACTCAGTCCAACATTTAACGCACTCTACAGACAGCAAGGGACAGTCTCGGTTATGCCCCGCCTGCCTGCAGAGTGGCTCAGGGCGCCGCTGGTAGAACAAGGCTCTCACGCAGTACAGCAGGTGTGCCAGGCCCTCCAAGCATCCATGTTGAGAGCTCCACTCACTCAGACCCACCTCCTCCAGGAAGCCCTCCCTGACTGCCACGCCCTCCAGAACGCCCCGTTTGCTGAAAGAGAGCAATCAGTTCAGAACTTTAGATTTTCCAAATCTTTCTCCACACCCAGGTTCTTCTGAAAGGTAATTCCAAACCAGTATGAAACTTCTTAGAGCAGAGCCTCAGGTGTGGCCCCCAGACCAGGCCAGGCCTTTGACAGGTGTTATCTGTGTGCAACAAACAACGCGGCAAAAACGGAGAATAAGGCCTTGGGAACGTCTGTGGCAATTTGAAATCGCTGCAACACCAGCACAGGACCATACTGCTGTATTTTATGAAAACACTGTTCGTGGTGCATTGGAAGTGAAAATAAAAACAAAACGAGTTTCCCTGACACTCGGCTGCCAAGCTGAGGAGCAACTGTGGGGTTTCCTCTTCAATAATTTTCATTCATTCAGAAACACTTCCTGGACAGGTTTGCCAAAATTCCTGAGCCCTAAGATGCACGCTGTGAAGACACTCAGACACCCCTCTGTGCAAGCTGCCTTCTGTCCGCGGCACCTTGGGGCCCACGGAGGCGGTGGTGTCTGGCAGAGGCTACACACCAGAGCCCATGAGGGTGCGTGCGCCCTGCTCCACCTGGCTCTATGAGGAGGGCACTTTCCAGAAGCCTGCTCCAGGGGAGACATCTGAGCACGTCGATAGTCTGGCAAAGTCCTGGGGACTGGCGGTACCGGCCCGTCTCAGCGCTGAGCTCCTACAGCGGCAGCTCCTTTGCAGAAAAGGCCTCCACGTCAGGTGTGTCTGCGGGTCTGAGGGTCCAGGACAGGACCCATCTCGCACAAGGTCAGAGGCTGACCTCCCCTCTTTCCCAGGGGCTTCCTGGGGAGCCTCCAGGCAGGGCCTCCTCCTCAGGCACCCACCCAGCCTCCCCTGCAGGCAGACACTCCCCAGGCCCAGGAACCCCGGCCCCAGCAACGGCTGCCCGGACAGCACTGTGTAGGGTGGAGATGCAGCCACCCAGGTCCCGGGCGATGGGGTCACCCTTCTGCTTCGTGGGGAGCAGGCCCGGCTGGCAGCCCAGGTGCCACCCGATGCCCATACCTCGCTGGCATCCGGTCACCAGGAGTCCAGACCCTGCCCACCTCCCCCTGGTTGCTCCAAAAGGTTCCCAGACACCCATGGAGGGGCCAGTCTGATCTGCCCTCCGGAATCACGTGAACTTTGAACTCTGGGGGGTGGAGGGGGGGAACTGGGACAACTTACATGTAAATGCCGACAACTGAAAAGAAAACAATAAAAATCATTTGCAACCACACATCCCTAAGTAAACACTGTCCACACTCTGGGCTGAGGTCTCACGCAACTAGAAGACCGTGGACGGGGCTTTGCCTGTTTCATTCACCATGTCCGTCCGTCATCCCACCGGGCCGTGGATGGGTCGTTGGCACTCTCCAACAACTGATCCCCACGGCAGCCTCACACCCCTCCCTGGACCGCGGCTCTCTTCACTGTCTCCCCAGGCTGAGGGGTGACGGCATTTCTGAACTCTGTCTCCTATTCGCATGTGGCAAACACCTCTCTGCCTGTATCTCTGATTATTCCCTAACAGAGAAGAGGTGTGGCTTGGCCGAGAGAGAGGGAAGGCAGCGGGGTCTGGAGGCAGGGAGCCGTGGGCCCTCCCCTCCAGGGGAGCCCGCCCCCCCACAGCCTGGCGACGGGAGAATGGCCAAGTTCACTTCCACCTCTCCAGGTACCGGTGAGGCTGAGTGCCTTCTCACGTGCTGTGAGCCATCCCGATCTCTTCACAGATCTGGCCCATCTGTATGAAGATTTGGCGGTGGGGGGGGAGTTCCTTCTATTTATGTGAATTCTTTATGTGTTAGTCATGTCCCACTTGGCTTTTTGCTGCATTTGCGATGGGATTTTACGATAAGAGCCCACTCTGAGCTCTTCATAGTTAACTTTAGGGTCCCCAAGTAACCCGTGACACACGGTGCCTGGCACACAGCAGGTACTGGTGATGGCAGCTGCTCCCACACCTGGGGTCTCCGCGGGGCCCCACCATCCTGGCTGGGAGGCCCAGCCCTACCTCCCTGGGAGCCTTCCTGGTCACCCCCAGAATCACACCAGCATCCGAGAAGCAGCCCTGGTCTCAACAGCTGTCAACAAATCAGGAAGATGCAGATCCTTCTCTGACAGAAATGCAATTAACTTAGAAATCATTTTTAAAAGACAATTAGAAAGAAATACGTATGTTTGGAAATGATGAACTATAATTCTAAATAAATCCTGGGTCAAAGAAGAAATCATAATGGGCATAAAATATTTACAACTAAACACTAACAAAAAAAAATCCTATATATTTTTAAATGTGTGAGATTCGACTAAAACAGTGATTATTTAGACATTTATAATCTTAAATCCTTTTATTAGAAAAGAATAAAAACTAAATTTGAATGAGGTAAACATCCAGCTTAGGAGTCAGAAAAATAAAACAGCATCAACTCAAAGAAAGGAGGAGGAAAATAGTAAAAACATGGGCAGAAATCCATCAAATTTTAAAACTAGCATATAATAGAGATCAAGAAAGTCACGTCAGCTCTTTGGAGAGGCTCATAACACTGCCAAGGGTCTGTCAATATTGTTTACGAAAGAAGAAAACGGGAAGGTACAAATAAACAACATTAGGAATAAAAAAGAGAATGTGATCCAGGTACCACGGACGTTACCAAAACAACAGGAACAGAGCTTCACGGTGTTAACTTGCTCAGTCTCCACCACGACAGGAGGGAAGCCTAACCTGGTCCATTTTCAGGTGGTCGGGGCACAGCAGGA